TTTACATTCAGCTAATGAGTTTCAATTAACACAAAACATCCGTCTTGAATAACGCTATAAGCTAATATCCGAATATTTGACAAACATTTTAATAACTAACGTATTTGGTAATCGTTTTTAATGTTTTCCAATGACTTAAAAATTCTGGATTTATTCGATGACCAGTTGTATTTGTTGTTTAGAAAACACGTTTTTGAACAGACTAGCCATACGTCTTTTGATATTGGTTCACACACATTTGTTAGGTACATCATAGCTGCTACCGAGTTACAAAATGTGGTCTGCTAACATGAAACGGCAGTAAAGAATAATTCAGTCATATAAGTAATTTCCATCATTATCCCAATACCACTTAATATAACCGTATTGATACAATAATAATGAAAATGTATCGTATATTTGTAATAATCTAATTGGACAAACACTGATCTTTCGATGTAAAATTACTTAGTGTGATTCGCTTCTTCAGAGAATAAATAACGTGCTTATATGAAAGAAATCAAATGTAAAACCAAGTGCGTACAAGCAAGTTTGTTCATGGTAATGTTATAAAATCACGATCAATGACAAAGGAAGGCGAAGTGAAAATCTCCATTACACAACAATATAATCCAGTATCTTAACTTTGGTTCAGTTACTTCGTCTTGTTTACTCTATTACAGGTTGGTAGAACAGTATTATGGCGGTTAATTTTATTCATAAAGTACTGAGTTTAGTGGGAAGACATATATATATACTTCCGTTTGACTTATGTAAAAGATTTTATGTGTATGATAACTGACTGACCGAAAACCATATATGTGTAACTCAGAACTGGATAGAATTTAAAAAATTCTCAGGTTGTTAATTGAAGCAAATGAAATTACCAACGCTTAAAACCAACAACGTAGTAACAACTAAACAACAAATTCATTTATTATTTAATGACGAATAAGGAAACACAAGAAATCGTGTATGACATGATATCTTGTATATTACAATCATGATATGACAAGGAAACCTCTATTCCGAAAATTTGTCAGCTGAATATCATTACTGTTTTTGTGGTGTGTACTACTTATGTCGACATTACTTACTTTACTTACGCCTGTTACTCCTCGTGAAGGAACATAGGCCTCTCACCAGCATTCTATTCAAACACTAACCAGAATATGTCGATATATATAGTATATAACGTCAATCAGGAATAGAATGCCTGACAAGAGAATGTTAAGAAGTTTGAAGACAAATGAACGGGAACAGAAATTAATTAGTATAGAAATACAGGAACAATGAAATCTAAAACAATTAATAAATATTTTTGCAAATGAAGTATTGGAGTATGTGATTTTTCTATTTTACCAAGTAACTCTGTAATTTTGTGTCCAATATAATCGGTTGTTCTCATCTATGTTCTCGTTCACTACAGTGATACAATTCACCATTATAAGGAGTTGTTTTTAAAAAAATTAATTTGATCCTATAATAAAAATGTTTCCTTCAGCATTCATTTTATACACATAAGACCATTAGACCAAAACCCTAATAATAATGATAGCTAATTAAAAATTCCTTATATTCATTATTTTTCTAATTATAACTTAAAGGTTGAAATCACCCTGTATCTAGTTAACATCGTATTTAATGACATTCAGACAATATAAGATAAAGAATCTTAATGATTTTGCATACCATTATAAACAAAAATGCTCAAGGTGAACATGAAGATTATATATGTTTATATGGACGTGAACAAACCGTAGGTGTACTCATATTTTACTCTAAATAAGCATAAGAATTTATATATAATTTGTACATCGTTATATCTGTGAAAATTTGTTAAGTTTCAATGGAATCTGTTTATGATACCATACGTTCAAATCACTAGTAGTCTTTCTTCTTTTTTTTTGTATTGAACTCTTAAATGAACATAGTTTTTGTGTACTTTTGTAATTAAAGATAATCAATCAATTGTCAAAATACCATAAGCTAAAAGAAATAACAATATGTGAAATTATAATTAAATACATTTTTAAACTAGGTGAAACCATCCTGTACAAGAACTCTTATTTAATAGTTGGATTCATCAGTCACTCGAAGCTAGACAACCATGGAAAACCTGAAAACACTTGACAGCCGTTTCGTTCTAATATGAACCCTTATATAATGATTACTTCTTGACGTCAAAATTGCATTAAATAGAAACCTGTAGTGAAGTGGAGGTTTCAGAAATTCTTTTTTGTACACAAATATAAAACTAAGCATTTCAAAGATTTCATTAGATGATAGTAATATAACTCACTATTATAGCGTTTCTGTTTAGACTGAACAAAGTTTTCATCAAGAACTTACACCACGTAAAAATCTGGTGTAAGCCGCATAATATTAGAAGCTATCTCTTAGTAGTTTAGAACTTCTTTTAATTTCCTATCCACTACCTTAAACAGTGTAAAAATCCAAAGGAAGTATTATTTTATAAAACAAAGTTGTAGAAAAAGGAGGATTTTATCCACAACTTTATGTGCTTAACATTAATATCATAGTCACTACCAGATTTGTTCCTTGCTCAACTACTTTATCAGTGTTCGTGTTATCACTAAATGTCATAGTTTTCATCTCGATGAAGTTCTTTTGAGATCATCCAATTATCATTTTGTGGAATTTAATGAGCTGATTAATTGAAAAGTACTTTTTGATTTTTATTTACTTTCGTGTTAATGTAACTTCAAATCTCAAGTTTTCTTCAAACTAATTGTGAATTATTTAAACGCAGATATGACAAAAAATTGTTTTGTATAAGGACGAGGGTTACAGACTCAAACAAAAAATACGTATGGAAACAATTGCTATACAATACGAGTCCGGGACCGTCTGTGAGCAGGCAGTAATAACATTGCTTGATTCTCACATAACCTCCATTCTTATCATTTATATATATCAAATTTATTTATTAACAATACAATGTTCGAATCTCATTCATCTTTAACGACTGATGAAAAAGGATACCACTGGAGCACTTTACTTGGTTCACATGGAATAAAGTAGTACATGTATTAAATACGTTTGCTTCATCTATATTCATAAAACGTTTACTTTCGTTAAACTGCCAGTCCTACACTTTGTATATTGCTTCAGCGTATGCATTATTACGAGGCATTCATTTTATTACAAATCGAATTAGGATATAATGCTACTGATAATCAGAAAGCAGTAGACGTATGCCTCGTTCTAGTATTTGGCTGCACAGTAGCGTAACCCCACGACCCACCGAGAATCGAGCCCATGGCAATAATGTATTAAGAAAAGTTCAGAAACTACTCAAAATGATAAACAGTTTTGAAGTGGTTATTAAAAACACTCAGGTCAAAACAATTGAGAATGAGATTTCATTTTGAAGTAAGCATTGTTTATGAAGATATATAAAGAATTTTCATTGATATACTTCTTATTTAAGGTCATTTTAATTTGTTTTTAGACTGTTAATTACAATAGTTGTTATAAAAACTGGACAGTACTACATCAGTAGGGAGTTTGTTTATATCCCATCAGTTTGCGACTGTACGCTATTGTTGTTATTATTGAAAGTAAAGAAAAATTTAAATCAAGTTTTTTTAAATAATAGAAAAGAATTCTAGCAGTAGAAATTCCTTTATAACTACACTTTATGTGCTCGGTTTTCAGCTACGAAGTTTATGTGAGGTTTGTTACCATTACGTATCAGCTGTAACGGATATGCACGAATCTTGGTTAGAAGGTGTGTTCTAATGGTTTAAAGAGCCTAAGCTAACATTAGAGAAAGGACATAGTTTCTGAAAATGTTATGTTATTGAAAATTCTATATCACTGACTAATTCAGAATAGCTCAATAATATATCACATTCATAAATTCAAATTTAAAAGTGAATTGTCCTTATTTTGTTTTACCTCAGTTAACAGATTCTTTCATAGTAGCTTAGAAATCAATATCAGAGATAAATCAGATCATTCTTTTTACAACGCACAGTACATTCAATACATTTACCCTATTTATTTTTCTTTCATTTGAGATACTATAAACAAGATTTAGATGGATATCTTTTTTAGAAACGTTTCTTTATAATTCAGTTCCTTATTAATTTCATCAATACTAAACCGGTTTATTTAAGATAACCATTTTTTCTAACGATCCTTACATTGTACTTGGTATAATTTCTTAGAAATATAAATTGGAAGTATATAATACAATATTTGATCTTTGATCATTACATCTCATAATTTCATTTAACATGTAAACTTATTCAAGTCAATACTTCATATTAGTTATCGTAACATCGATGTTTTTTTTATTATTAGAAGCTTTATTCAACATTATAATTTTGGTACAATATAGAATTCCTTTTCTTATATCTTGATCGATTGTGACGATAAATTTTGAATAATGACCAATTAGATGTTAAGAGTTCGGTAATCCACATTTGATTAATGTTCATTCGTTTCAGTGCATATTGCCAGGCAACATGATGTCGCTGATTTTACCTTTTTGTAACCCGTTTAGCAAAAAGTTGTAAACTTTTTATAAACGCTCCTGAATAGATTGTGAGCACACTAGACATAATGACGGGTTAAAACAAACATGAAAACAGTTAACTTGATGAAATATCTAGATCGGAGGAACAGGTAGCCTAAATATTCAAGCAGGCCGCTACGTTATTAGAATTAATTCTAAATTCATATGCTATAATTTTAAACAATGTGATTTGTCTTAAATCTAAGCTCTTAATGGATCATTCAATTCAGATATATAATTATTGAATCTGAACTGAAAAATTATTTCTAAAAAAATTATTCTTCATTTATATCTTTGTTATAATTTTCTTGAAACCTATAATCACATATACTCACAGATAAATACACATAATTCATTTTGATGAAGTTTCATTCTCTGAACTGGATAGTTTGGTCGTGTTATTATCATTATTATTGTTAATGATTATAAGAAATCAATCAAATTTATCATGGAAAGTACAACTCTTTAAATGTGAATTTTCTATAAAATATTCACACACACACTCACACACGCACACACACACATAGAAACACATAACTTCGTCATCTAATAATTTTTTTTTTAAAAAAAGAAAGTTAAAAAAAGAAGAAAAGACGGAAAACATTCAATCAATATATTTTACCAAAAATGTTTATGTAATTAACGAATCAGATCATTAAAGAAGTAAGAAAAAACTAAAAACAAAATAAAATAAAATAGAATTGGAAATAAAACAATTCAGTTGTAAATTTTAACTTAGATCATATTACTATCAAATTATTCAACTATCTATCTATATTACTGATTAGTGCAATAAAATAAATAATCAAAGATCTTCCTCTTATTTTTATTTATTTATTCATCATCATCATCATCATCATGACAACAAATGAAAACAATAATCAATTAGAAATCAATCAATCAATCAATTATACTGAATCAATTTATCATTTATGTTATGGTTATTTAATACATGATTTAAAAATTAAAAATAAATCACAATTATTTGATAGAACTATTGCTGAAAATGAAATTGATCATATTAAACCAATATGTTCTATACGTTTATATTTATTATTTTGTAAAGATTGTTTACGTATAAAACGTTATATAACTAATACAAATCGTTATAAACGTTATACATTATATTATAAACAAATTGAAGTGTATTATTTTACACCCTATATGAAAAATGTATTAATATTAGGTATCCTATCACCAAATGGTCTAAAACGTAGTTATCAATATATTTATATTAAAAATAATGATGATCATTTTAAAATACAAACAATATTAAATCAAATATTTGAAAATTCATTAAAAATATTAACAAATATGCCAATTATTGGTCAATTATTAATTAAAAGTTTTCATAATGAATCTGTACGTAGTAAAAGATTAGGACAAATAATTTTAGATGATTTACATACATCTAATGATATGGTTAATGAAATCAAAGAAAATGATGATAGTAATCCAATCATTAATGAATAGATAAATGAAAATAATAAAAACTTATCTTAAATATGGATGATACCTTTTTTTTATAAAAATCCTCATCCAAATATACATTTTTATATGATAATAATTTTGTAAAGACGTATGTGTATTCTATATTTAATTAAATAAATTTGTTTATTATTAAAACTTATAATTGTTTCAATGGTTAAGATCACGAGTCAGTTGAAGCTAGACCACCATGGAGAACCAGGAAGCACTGGACAACCGTTTCGTCTTATTGTGGGATTTCTCAGCAGTGCTCATCCACGACCTCGCCTTCTGCGAGATTCGAGCCCAGGAACTATAATATCTACAAAACACATTTGATATTATAATTATTTGTTTTTATTCTAAATTGTAAACAGTAAATAGATTATGAATATGTATATGTATGCAAGTAAGTAATTCTATCCATATCGGTATAAATATAACTAGAATTCTATTAGATTGATATTGAGTTTTTGTCTCGTATTGATTGTTGGTCTGTTGGTAACGGTCTCATATTTAATCCGTCTCAATGTCAAGCTGTTAACTTTAGCATGAGACATGAATGGCATCTAAACACCATGTTGAGATCCCATAATGCTTGTACCATCGGAGACTCATTAATAAACACAGTGTTGAAGGTCAATTATCTTGGTGTTACCTCTTCCTCTAATCTCTCTTGGTCTTCTCACGTTTTATTGTTATCGAAGAAGGTTTTCCGTCTGACTTACTACATAAAGAGATTGAATGCTCTTGGCATCACACGTCATTCGCTCTGACAATTTGTCAATTCTTGCATATTACCTATTATTCTTTACTGTTCTCCATTATTCTTTCCTGGGTTTTTGAGAAAAGACTTTGCTGTATTGCAGAGAATGCTGAAAGCAGTTAGCAAGATGTGTGGTGACTCATTCGAGGTCATTATTATTATGGTTGTGGATAGACATCTGAAGTCATGCAAACTCGTGGCAGGTGCTATTTTATCAAATACTAACCATCCTATTCACTCATATCTTTCTCCTTGTACATCTTCTGGTAGAACGAGACGTAATTACATTAAAATCCAAGCATTCGAGCAAAAGTATAAAAGTTCTATAATACCTTACCTAGGAAATATACTCTGTGACGAACAGGTTGTTAGAGTTAACCTAGTCAATAACCTGCATTCTTAACATGTCTCCAATTTGGAAAGTTGTACAGTTTTTCAGGTTTTCTTCAAACCTTATTTTCCTTTTTTGCATTTGTTTCTGTTTCTTGTTGAAATATACTGTGCTGAGAATTCTGTATTGTACCAAAATATAATATTGAATAAAGCCATTAATAATAATAATAATGATATATCACCTAGCACAACTCATTTTGATTTAAATGTTGATTATTTAATATTCTGATGTTCTTATATAAATGATACTTATTAAAAGTATTTTGATTTTATATTCAGAATAATAAGCCGGTATTCAAAGGTGTTAATGTCTAACATCAAACAATTTATTAAATTTTGCCATCGTCCACTATTGTCTTCAATGAGTTACTATGTCACAACAGACCTGATTGAATACTACTGATCATGGCTTCTCACTAAAACTCTAGTAAATACTTATTGAAGCTAGTCAATAGTGATTTTATATTCAAGATTTGATTGATCACAATGCATCTAACACATCATATCTTATAGTTTTCTGTCAGTGAAGCAGGTTAGATTTCATTGTTTGACAAATAATGTATATACATTGATAATGAAACAGTTGTTGATCATGTAATGCAGACTTGTGTAAAGTGTTGTGATCGGTAAATTTTCGCAATCTAATTTTAGTTTAACAACTATTAAACTTTCTATTCTACATTGGTTTTATACTGTCTATTAAAAATAAACATGACCATAAGTAGTTTTGTAAATTCAAAATTTACGACTGTATATATCAATTGTACATTAGTTAAAGAACATTTTAATATATCTGATGGAACAGGGTAATCACTCTATGTAAATTACCTATTTTTCGATGAAAATTAATGGTGTATCACTGAAACTTAAGTCTTACGAATTACTTTTGATAGTTCTAAGAAAAGGGATAAATTTAATAAGTGAATTTTTCTAATAAAATGAAGTAATAAACAATTTTAATAAGTCGTTCATTAGAACTTGTTTGAAAACACTAAACATAATTATTTTTTAAAACTCTGTAGTGGATTAAAGTTGTTTTGAAAAACGGTAGGTAAATTAATGACTCATGACATTTGAATCTATGGAAAAATATGCAAAATGAAATTTTTCATGTTGAATTCGCTATTCAGTAGTGTCTCCTATTTGTTTCATCTCAATCGGGAAAACATCAAACATATCCAACTACTGTTCATGGAAAACTGCTTTGCTCTGATGATGCAGCTTATATTGAGGTGCACTTTCCAAACACGTATGGAGGAACTTCCCTGCTTCGGTATATGAAGGGCTGATACAGATCATTCAACAACTCAATCATTGAATAGAATTGTAATTTCAATCATGAATCGTCACAGAGTCAAAAAAATCTGAATAAGTAATTTTTGAATGGGTCAACTAGTACATGATATCGGTGTTCAGGAGAGACATGTTCGTTACCTTATTTTGCCGTTGTCGTAACACCTGTTCTAATTTCATAGGTTGTTATTACAGCTTGTTCGTCTATTCTCCACCTTTAACATAGTCGTCAAATGGACAGATACCTTTCCCATTTCATTTATGGATTTTTATTCACTGCCATTCTTATCACTATTACCTTATTTGTAATTGATAAATCAAATTGTTTGATTGTTTTTCACAACTTTGCCAAATAGAAGGAGAAATTACTTCCTATTTCACTATAGAAAACTCTGTATAAAATCTTCCTTTAAATATGATTGTACAGCTCAAGTAAAGAATACCTTCGAAAAGAAGAATATTTTACCACTCCGTCGCCTTCATTTTTATAGCTTACGTCATGGGATTATCTTAGATAAACACTGAGAAAAAATTATTGGAAAGTTGTTTTTTGCTAATACTTGACTCCTTGGCAGTGCGCATCCACGACCCCTTTGGAAATCTCAACATTTTTTTATAGTGAGAAACACTATATTCTTCCTAGTGGCTAACTTTGAAAAATAATTCTTGGAGTTCTAGCCAGACTTTCTACCGTTCAGTTCAACTGTGTCAGAACTGGAATTTATCACTGACAGTTATTGATGACGATCACAAATATTGCAAATCGGTCTACTATGAGACCTAACTGTTCTCGGTTCTATCATCAATTTAGTTGTGAGTGCACACACGTGAGAAGTCCAATATTAGGAAGATAAACTGTATTATTCCTCTTGGTCTTCAGTGGCTGTCCGATTAAGATCAGTTCAACATACAAACCATGACTAAAATACGTTTCATTTACTGAGTTCATTATTTTATTTCAAGCATATTCTATTGTTGTTTGCCTCGAACAGTTTATGATCTGAGAAATTTTCAGTCTTCCTATTTCCTTCCAAACGGTAACACAGTTGTTATAAGAACGTAATACGGTTTTTTTCTTGTCTATCTTTTAACTTTTCATCGTACACGTATCATCCATTCATTATCAACCTCACATCAACTCGTTTATAAAAGACTACTTATAAATTGGAATATCCTTATTAGAAATATTTAACTAAATCAAATTCATCAAAATATATTGTTGTAATCAGAGAGGGGTTTTGTGGATATTATAGCAATTTAATAGTTAAATTTATGAGTCAATTGAAGCTAGACCATAACAGAAAACCTAGAAGCACTGAACGGCCGTTTCATGCTATTATGCCGCAATTTTTTGGATTGGTTGAAGTTAAACATTAACACCGTTGGATGCCGGCTGGCTCAGTGGTCTAGTGGTTAAGCGTTCACGCGCGAGACTGATAGGTCCTGGGTTCGAGTCTCACATGGCGAGATCGTGGATGCGCACTGCCGAGGAGTCTCACAGTATGACGAAACGGTCGTCCAGTCCTTTCAGGTTTTCCATGGTGGTCTAGCTTCAATTGACTCATATAATATTGTATCTCAAGTGATTAAGTTTTCTTTAAAATACATCAAAATTCTCTCATCATCAAAAATAATGAGACTCAAAATCTATTTCATATTCTTTTATGTACATTTTCCAATATGTAAAGATATTTTATGTTTTACAATTATTTTATTATTTTTTATTTAATTATTCAATAAAAACTATAAGCAGAATGGACGTTTTATTGTTAACTGTTTCTAAACAAGCTTGAAGTAAATTACGAGAATTACTGGGGGAATAAAATCAGTAAGTAGAATCCTGCTGGCACTGGGTAATAATTACTTGCTTCTTACTTACACTTTTTACCTCTTTTGGAGAAGCATAATCCGCCCATTAGAGAATAATGTTTATTCAAAAAAACTTTCATACGGGTCGGAAACGAGTTAACGGAGTTATTTTATAGCATATATTTTTTTAAAAAGTCTAGTAACCATGTAGAAAACAGCAAGAATCAATCAATATTTATTTATCTCATCAGTAAAAAGTTGACTGTCATTTAAATTATAGAATATCAATATGTTTGGGATTATTTCATTATAATAGGTCGAATCATGTAATCCATGTTATTGGTATAAAAGTGAAAGGAATGTTTACTATCTGTATAATCCATTAATACATGATCTATGTCGAACAAATTAAGATAATCTATAAGAATGTAATCTCATCTTATTAATTAAATAATGGACAAAACGTTATCTGAGAATAATTCACATTATGATGTCTTGGTATTACAATGTGATTTTTGCATTAGTGTAAACAACATTACTGATACATAGTTCAATTTTCTTACAATAATACGAAAAGTGTAACGAAAACATTAATAAAACACATTCTGATACAAACAAACTCGATAATACTAGGTCAACTATATGTTTTGATAATATTTTCATTCGCTTTGTTTTTATCATTATAGGATAATGACAAAATCTAAAAAGAAATATAGTATGAACCAGAAACAATTAATCTATTCAATATAATATTAGTAATATGACTTGTTGGATATTCATTACTGTTGAACGGTAATAAGAACTGCAGATTCAAACATTCATATATTTTCTCATCAATATCTCAACATATAATTTTACTAAAGCATTATAAACTTATTTTGATTCAAATACATATTCATTCGTAACAGAAGGGGTTTTGTAGATAATAAAGTAATTTTAATAGTTGAGATCATGAGTCAATTGAAGCTATATTACCATGGAAAGTCTGGAAACACTGGACAGCCATTTTGTCCTATTGTGAGACTCCTCAACAGTGCGCAGTGGATGTGTCGCTTAATTTCGTGGATTGGTTAAAGTTAGACATTAACACTGTCGGATGCCGGCCGGCTCAGTGGTGTAGAGGTTAAGTGTTAATGTGTGAGACCGATATATTCTGAATCCGAATCTCACGAGTCGAGATAGTGGGTGTGCACTACTGAGGAGTTCCATACTAGGAAGAAACGGTCATTCAGTGCTTCCAGGTTCTCCATGATTTTTTGACTCATGAATTCAACTATTAAATTACTACAATATCCACAAAATCCATTTTTGATTATAATTATAGATTACTTACGTTGAGCGATTATCTTTTACGAATAGATTATCGTCTGATATATTTTATAGGCCGTAATATAGATAGTTTATTATCTATCTCTTAGATTGTGACGTAATAGGTTTGTAATTTATTAAAGTCACGTAAAAATTCAGACTATTTACCTAGTTTATCCAAGAACTCATATTTACCTATAATTGTATAATTTAGGATTGAGAGATTATATGTGAATTAGCTACTAAATAATGAGTTACTTATTTGTTAAATATGTAAAAGTAAGAACCGTTAATGGTTATCATAAATTAATAATTTACGAAATATCTCATTTATTATTTAACCTAATACTTATTACATTCTGAAACGAAATAAACACGAATTCTATGATTTTACCTGATATCCGAAAGTGTCCTGTTATCTCTATCTAATATTGTGGGATGTTGAGAAGAGAACATTTGTATCCTGAAGTATGTTGACAGTGTAGAACACTAATAGAAAACGTTTCCTTTGAAGGTCAGAACATTAATAAATTTCCTTTTTAATAGGACATATTAGTGGATATTTAAACATGATTCTCTCCAAAAAGTTCAAGCTTATAAGGTTTACAACTAGTAAACCACAAACAACGATATATTTTCAGTGATGAATTGGATTGAATGGTTTCTTCTTCACAGATACTTTATTACGGTATATTTGTATTGAAAATCAGTTTCACATCTCCAATAAGTAGAAATAAGTAAAATTTAGTGTTTTGACACTTCTAACGTGCAGACTGAACTATCAACATATAATAGTGGAGTAGGGAATTATGTAAACTCTGATTTACTCATCACTGTCGAGAGCATCGAGCGAATTTGACCTCCGACTTCAGAACGCAAGATGAATTACATCTAGAGCTTATGTATTTCAATGGTTTGATATATTTTAAGTTTATATAAATCAATCAATGATTATAGTAGTAACTTATGAATCTCATCAGTATACCGGATAAAAATACATACTGAAATGTATCCGTGAATAAAAATGGGGAGCTTAAAGTAAAGTTTGAACCGAAAATAACTTATTTCATTTCTATAGCTCTCGGGTTTAATCTAGCATAGTATTTAAGGCTTAGGAGAACTAAACCTGCTAAAGTTACTACATTCTGTCGCCCGTAGAAATCGATTCCAAACCGTATGTCATTGATTGTTAAAGTAACTACCTTCTAAAATCGAATATGGAACTTTTCAAATTCTTTTAATGTTATTCAACTTAACATTAAAAACAGATTAATTTTGAAAATGATTGTATACCTGACGTTCGTTGGTAATGTTTGCCTCGATGTTTTACGAAGTGTTTTGTCTCCGAATAGAGATGTTGCTCATCATAAACTGAATACAATTTAGGTAATTATTCTTTTAGAGATACGGCATATTTATAAAGATAAAAAATTAGCATTTTATTTCACTTCTCAAAACGCCATTTCTAATGAGACAAGGTTGCTTAAAGCTAAAATCTCTGCCGAATAACTTATAAGTACGATAGTTGACGTAGGCCCAGAAGGTTAGATTATGGCTTACCAAGTTCACAAAATGCAGTAATATTTCATAAGATTTAATCCATGATATTAATTTTAATAAACGAGTAACTTGAAACTTCTAAGTAAATTAATTATAAAATCCGAATACTGTCCAAATTTACAAGCTATATTTTAAAAAAAAAACACAGTTAAGTAACGAATCATTTAATTTTTCATCAAATTATAATGTTAGGCTGTTGTCTGATTCTCAATACAGTCATTGTCAACATCGACAAATCTTTCAGAATATAAATAAACAGGTCCAAGATGTGCGATAGTTGCACCAGATTTAGAGTCTGGACAAATAAATGTAACTCCAGCTGGCCATTTAGATGGTGGATACAAATCTGTCACTTCATAATTTTCCTCATATGAATCACCCTCATAACCTGTTCTATAATATAACTTTGCTGATTCATCGTCTGCATGAAATATTGGCGTAAGTATAGGTTCAACATAAGCGTCCGCTTTGTAAATCGCTGAAGCATAACGATTATTATTATTAATATTATCATTATTATTATTATCATCATCATCATCATAATCATCTTCATAGGTTACGTCATTAAAATCACCGTTTATTCCATTATAGTGTTTCACTGGATCACTACCTTCTGTATCACTTGATTCAATTTTACTATTCATATTTTCATTTTTTAAAATTGATGATATAATACTAGTTACTGAATCATTTTGTGAATATTGTGACACCATTTTACGTACATCATTTTCATTTTCTATTAATTCATTTTGATATAAACGATTTTCTAATTGACTTTGTAATTCATTATCAATTTCATTAGATTGTGTCCATACAATTGAACCAAGTGATCCATGACTAAATCTTTTATTATCATATAATGATGACATAGATAATGTACCAATTGGATTTAAATCAATTAATTTTCTTTCACTATTTTCACATGCTTGAACAAGTAATCTACACAAAGTTTTAAAATCATCATCATCTTTAATTTTTGTACATTCATAAGCACGTATTTGTTGATTTTTACTAATAATACCTAATACAAGAATATTTTTAGCACCTTCTGATATATAAATTATTTCAATTTGTTCATAACTTAAATATAAACGTTTATATGAATTTGTTGGTTTTTTATAAGCTTTTATTCTTAAACCATTTTCTGTTAAATAAATCATACGTTCTTGAGATTGAATAGTTCGTTTTTTATTAATTAATTTCTTCATATATTCTTTATTAAATTCTTCATTTGGTTTTAATGTACGTTGTATAAATAATTTTCCAGGACATTTAAAATAAATTAATTCATGAATATCATAATTGGTTTCTTTGAATGATGGTACCGAATTACTTAATGCATTCTTTTGAATTGATTTACGTGACATGATAATGTATATTGACTTTCTTTGATAGGCACAGAATCCAAAGGTAACAAAAAGATGTATAGAATTGATATTACAGTATTTATATATGTATAAATGTAATCACTGAGTATAATATTGTTGCTAATACAAGTAAATCTAGAGTTGATTTGACTAAATATCAATAATGTAACCAATGATTATACTTCAAGAAGTTCAATAGAATATATGTAACATATATGTCATAGAATTTATATATTTTTTTTAAAAACAAACGTAGTAATTAATTAAGTAGAAATTCCTTCACCTTTCAGTGGATTAAAGTAAATAAGCATAAGGAAGTGATGTTAAATTCACCGATATTGAAATAAGTCCTATTATTTTTAGTTTTGTTTTGTTTTTTAATTTTTATTATTTTTTTTGATAAATTTTATTGTCTGTCAGTTCATCCAAAAATCATTTCTGTACATAGTTCCACGTATGTATGTATATATACTTGGAATAATGTATATTAGTGCATAGAAACAGATTGAACATTAATTACATACACTAAAGTAGGTGACTCATATAAATAGTAAATTGAATGAAGCCAAAAGTTTATACATCTCAATGACTTTGAACCAATTACTATGCATTCTATATAATCTAATAGAATAACATAAAATTTGGTCATTGTGTTCAGATTTGACCTGTAATTGAATCGATTAATTCATTCAGTATATTGTGGTTTCATAATTTCACTATTGTACATTTTAATGTTCAAAAATCAATAGGTAACACAAAATATAATGAAACAAAATAAGAGCTATAATGTAATAGACAATGTGGGTAATCAATAATTCATCCGCTCTATGTTTGAATTGAGTAAATAAATCTAACTGTAACAATGTAGACTGTTTGTTCATTCATGTGATGCTCAAATTTGAATAAAAAAAATGTTTTTGGACGTGTAGCACATTCAGTAATTGAATAATGAATAACACATTTTAAAATAGTCAGAAATTGTTTTTAAAAAAAAGTTAGATTCGTCTCACTATGATAAATAAAGAAGTGAAACACAAAGTTAAATTAAAAAGCTTTATATATTCGATATACTGACTACTTATCATGAAATGGTGTAATCAAAAGTGATATTCTGGTTACAGAACTATTGAGAAACTAAGACCTTAGATGATTATTGGACGCTTAAACAATTAGCTCACTTCAAAATATCATTTTCTGTAAGGTTTTCATTGCCCAAAGGAAGAGTAAAGGTTTCTTTGAATACTCATATTGAGAATTACATCACGAAACCTAGCCTTTATATTAGAAGACTCTTGGCCAAGACCAAATAGGCAACAATAAATATTCTTCCCACACTTAGTTCATTTCACATTTCACGCTCTTTGTATATCTATATTAATACTTGTATACAAACTAATTGCTCGGACATTTAGTCATTTTAATATCACGCAAATATTTCGGCTATTATTCTGTTATCGTTTTCAAAAATGATCTGGTGTCTAGCCCAATAATATAAGTAAACTTCATGTTAATCAATTTATGTTGGTTGTTTGAATCTTTCCATTGACAATTAAGACTGGAGTTATTCAATAAATTTCTCTGCACTTGTGCATCCTCTGCACATTGCCTCGATCTTTCCACTAATCCACAAGAATTATAAACAGAGATCGATGGCGGTTAGGAGTGGAATCCACGACACGTATTTCGTCTTATTTGGTACTCGTTAACTGGATGTGCCAACATCCATCTCTGGTTACAATGCTTGTAACAGTGGGTAATACGGATACAATCCACACAGAATGTATACATGCCAAAAAAGACTGAACAACTCCAGTCCAAAAAATCAATGGCAATACGTGATGGCATATCAAAAGGAGCCGTTCTGGGTTCAGGTCTCATGATGAACTGTAACTTTGGGATGTGTGTAGTCCAAAATAGGGCTAAACTTTCGTTTTCGATTCTACTGATAGGCACCATGCATCTTTATTATAAAATTCATGTTTATTGTTTTAAGTGCTACATAATACTGAAACTTTGAGTTAACACTTTGATTTTTTTGTTACTTGGTTGTTTGATAATATGAAAATATTTTCAGAGAAACGTTGTTCATCGATAACTTTTTAATCAAAACACTTACATCCAACTTAACGATCAAAGTTATATTCTAGTGTTTTAGTTCAAACACGAATAAAGATACTTTGTTCTACCAACATTTATAACTTTAAGGATAAAATTTGACTTAAAATCATCAAAAATAGTGGTTGGATTGTATGAAAAATTTGAACATAAATAAATATAATTTAATGGGTGAAATATGAATCGTATCTAACTGGCTTCAAGAGGTATTCCCTTGAGTTATAGTGAGAAGCAGTGATCAGTGGAGTTCAATCGGGTCTGTTATGAGATAGTAACTCACTGATGACAATGGTGGATGTGTCACTCAATTTGTGGTTTAGATGTTAAACGTTTGCGCGCGAGACTGATAGGTCCTGAGTTTGAATCTCACGAGGTGGGATCGTGGATGTGCATTGCTGTGTCTCACAATAGAACGAGACGGCTGTTCAGTGCTTTCATGTTTTTCATGGTGGTCTATCTTTATTTGACTCATGGTCTCAACTATTGAAATTCTTATTTAACTGTTTATTTTACTGTAACTTAACTGAGACTAGATAAGTCAGACTTATGACATACAACATCATGTAGTTGAACTTCTGTATTAGTCTACTTAATTTACGAATCTTTCCCAGATAATCTGTATAAAACTTTCTAGTATATTGTAAATCTTGTAACTTTTAAGAAGATAAACAGAGCATAGTATCGTAATGGATATTGTTGGCAGTATTTTCAACATTTCTAATATTTTGTTTCATGGTCAAAAACGAAAAAAAACGAAGAAAATTTTAATTTTGCTACTGATTGTTCTATGTCTAACGACAGGAATGAAAGAATTCTTTTGATGTGAAATTTCATGTTTCCTTTCTTGTTTTTTCTGCGATATCTCTATTCATCGCGGAACAGATAAAGGCCGTAACGTCTAGTCTGTAAATTCTTCAATTCATCTACTCAAATATGTTTTTAAAACTACAAAAAAATGAGTTTTTTGATTAGTCTCTGGTATTTCAATATGACTGGTAAATAAATAGAGAACACGTTGCTAACTAGAATACATTAGATAATGTTTATAAATCAAGATACAATTACTTATCTCTATGTGTTCTGTTTTCTTTTTGTAAAACCCAATACAGTTTGCTCTTAGTTAACCATCAACACAATAATAAATTAATATTTTATTAAATACAAACTTCGGGAGAAATCATGAGAAATGTTTCTGTTACTACAATTAAAGTTAAGCTCATATGTTCACTCTTTAGTAAAGTTAATTTATGGATAAATCACCTGCTGATCTTAACTAGACCGCAATTATAAAGATGCAAGAAATAGACCAAAAAGCAACCTATAATTATGTTATTTTTCCTGACTGTCAAATAATAAGAAGTTTGTTTATCGTCTAATCGATTTTGTTCAATCTCATCAATAACAATAGTCCGTTTATAATTAAAATATGTTTAACAGTTTACTCAATACTGAATTGTATTTCCTTCTTGATTATTGAAAGATTAAGGACATTACATATTCAGAAGAAGGAAAGTCAATCATCCTAAGATATCGCTGACATTCAACACATAGGTTAATTAATTTGAATGGCATATATAAATACCTCTGATACTGTAATTATGTTTTTGGTAAATGTTACAACAATTTGAAATTTGTTAAGTCTAAGAAAATTCTTATCCAACTTATTATTAAACGATTTATTTTTAATTTCATATGCTTGAAGAAAAGTATAACCAGGACTTTGTATTTTCAGCCAAAAATGTATTCCCTAGTGTTAACTAGAGAGTTCACCTATGTTATTCTTATCTTCATACAAAAACGACAGTGAAATTAAACAAATCTCAAAGATAAATTATCTTTCAGTAAATTCATCGTGTAAGATGAGTGAATCCTCATAACACTCTCAACAGTACCTAGTCGTAATTTCTGTCTACGTTCACACTTAGAGTAGTGATAATAGATAAAATTTATCTAATCTTAGTTCCAACCTTTGAGACTTTGGGTACAAACATTCTACTAAAACAATTAGATATTACTTTGACATATGACAAAATTTATCAGAAGAACCATTGAATTCAATAATTTGAAAAAAGCCACCATTATTTTTAGTCTGGATCCTTTGGATAGTAATGAGTTTTCGCTAAAATGACAATAATTTCTAAAAGAAAACAGTAATCGAATTCATTCATCAAAATAGTTATTTGCTGTTTTGTTATAAGAATGCTTACACTTCATCAAACTCATTCATTTCTCTTGAATTTATATGCCAAAGTTTTAACAAAAAGAAAGTTTCCTTCTTTGATAAAATTCTCATGAAAGTTTTGTTATTTTCTGAGTTGGATACTTACAGAGAGACTAAACAAGAAATGTCATCTCATTAAATGAACAGTCATAATGAAATAATAACTTTATCTTTAAATATGACACTTTTTAGTTAATATAATTTTGATTGAGCACATGATCACTAACAGAATGAAAATTATGTTAACTCATTTGCAAATAGCATATATACTAACATAATAATATGAACATTTTTTGATTGAAATCATGAGTCAATTCAAGCTAAACCACCATGGAAAACCTGGAAGCACTGGATGGCCGTTTCGTCCTAGTATGGGACTCCTCAGCACAACTGAGGAGTGCTGATTATCAGTAGACTATCATTTAAGCGAAGAACAATCAGATACAAAATGAACTTATAACACCAGCTAACTTATTCTAATTGAGGGTGTTTCCTTGTAAATAAAAAAAATTATATTGTGTAAAAAGCACAGCAAGTAAATATATAAGTAATCAGACTATAGACAAAGATAGATATACTTATATCCACAATGATTTAGAAAAAACGCTCAAGATATAAAGTATTGACAATTACAAATACAACCATAACTTTTCTGTTCCAAAGTTAAATTAAATCAAGGAGGGGTTATAATAGATAACGTGCCACAATGTTACAAATTGTTTACGAATTGTACAGGTTCTTTTAAAATGTCTAACACTTAGGTATTTTTGTTCAAATAAATGTCCGTATTGTGTATATTGATGTTTACAGAATCTTTGAATTAAAATTCTTCAAACGGCTGAAACAGTAGCTATCCGGATGAAGAAACTTGAGCTCTAAGTACAAAAGAAGTATCTTCAACAGCTTCTCCTTTCCTGGCCAATCTCAATGCCATTAATCAATACTTATATGCGCTATTGAATGACCTAATTTGACTATTATACCTACAAATTAAAAGCACGAAATTCAGTGAAGGACTCTCTTTCCAAAGAATTTTTTATCAAGCTGTACAATCGTATATATATATGTGAAAATTGTTTGTTAATCATTGTAACAAAAACATTTTAATCATCTTACTACATTCACCTTATAATTCGTTGCTAACTTACTAAATCTATTGTTACTATTCGTATTACGTAATCTAGTATCATAATCTTTCTATTACGTCATCTTGGTTATTTGTGTTCACATTTCCTCACGGAACTATTACTGTAACAAACAATTTTCATATACACTTGTATATATATATATATATATATATATATATATATATATATATATATATATATATATATATATATATATATACAAGTGTACAGCTTGCTAATAAATTCGTTGTAAAGAGATCCCTTCGCTGAACTTCGTGTTTTTAAGTTTTAATGTTGCAATT